GTGTCATATGACACTGCCGTGATACCACGAGTTTGACACCCCTGATATATAATATCATGACCTCATTTTCTAATATTTCCAAGTACTTTTATGTTCGTTAGTATAGAACCCATAATGTATAATCAATGATTTCATCTATTGACTAATTTTGCAAATGATCCTTCACACTGTGGCAGACATTACTCTGCTACTACTTCTGTAGTAACTCGGAAATCATTCCACTAATTGCATAAACAAGAGAAAATCAGGTGTCTCCTAAAGCTAAATGAAACTATCTTTTTATTGACAGCCTGGCTATTATGGAATTTTTCGGGGTAAGAAGGTTAGGTCAACAGAACTATCCACGCTTCTTCACGAACTATTAAAAACAATCTTCTTCATCCTATACAATATTTGGCATGACTTCCTCTGTTGTGTTTAAGCCACAAATGTTATTTCATTAGATGATACAACATATTTTTTGTTTTGAAATCACAATTAAATATTACTACAATTAGATTATTCATACTTAAAAATGCAGTCTTTATTGTGTTCGAGAGAGAACAATGCTCTTTATGTTGAACAACAGAATGTCAGGGTTCCAAATAGCATCCTCAATAAAATAAGAATCCAAGGCTAGAGATTCCTCAAAGTTCCAATTTATTAGAAGAGCCACGTTGGCACATCTGGAAAAACCTGAATCTGAAAGCTTCCAGGTTTTCCCCAGACAGATGAAAGTTCAAGACCCTGCCCCAACACCCACATGTCCATCACATGGTCCAATCAGTCACTGACCCAAAGGAAGATTCCACTCAGTGATGCCACTCCATGTGCAGGGGCAAGATGACCTTGACTCTCTGAGAAAGAATGTTATTTTGACTACAAAGCTCCCATGCTCCATAGTTTCCCACAGTAGAAATAAAGGATGTACAAATGAAACAACGAAGAGAGATTGAAAGTATGGCGTTCTGGACAGGGTATCCATATGTCCAAATATCATTCTTTCGGTCTCTTTTAGTTGGTTTGTTTAACTGTGTCATTTCTTATTCAAAAGTACTCCTTCTCAAAAAAGAAAAACATTGTATGCTTAAGCCAATACCTCAATATTGATGACTGTTTCCCCTTGAAAAGAAGGATTTCCCTTGTCAATTGCCGTGATTACCATTCGGTAGTTTGAATGCCAACTGTATGACAGAGCTTTGGTAGTTATTAACTCACCGCTACTGTTGTCAATCTGAAAGTGACCTAAACTTTTTTCTGAAAGAGATACATGTACATGTTAGGAAAGTGTTATTTAGAACAATCTTAAACAATGTTAAGTACTGAGTGGAACTGAGAATTCAAGTCCTGCTGCTACTGCCTATCCTTGCCTTGTGATGCAAAATTCTCTCATATGGCAAGCAGAATATAAGCTTGTTTCCCTAAATGTGCATATTTTTCTGTTTCTGTCTTGCAGTCTTAAAAAGATTCACTTAAATAGAAATCAACTTCCAATTCAAGGAATAATAATTTAAACTAATATCCTTTATAAACTTATAGAAGTCTGGCACTTTTAAAACAGCAGTCTGATTTCTTAGGGTATAATTTTAACCCCTCATGGCTCCATGTTAAAGAGATAAGGATATACCCAATCAATATGCAATAAAGGTCATTTACACCAATTATGAGCAATTCAAACTTATAATGAGGGGTGAAATTTAGCAGGTTCTGACAGGTTCTGGAGAACCGGTAGCGGAAATTTTGAGTAGTTCAGAGAACCGGCAAATACCACCTCTGGCTGGCCAGAGAATGGAAATTTTGCAGTATCCTTCCCCTGCCATGCTCACCAAACCACGCCTGCAGAACCGCTAGTAAAATTGAATTTCATCACTGCTTATAATCTATATTTGGCCCCAAATTCTCCAAGATTGCATTGCCTCAAGTCAAGACCTTTTCCTCTATCTTAATATATAACTTTCTATCCTTCCCTCCAAATATTATACCTGAGAATAAGGATATTTTCTGGTAAAGTCTCTCTATAGTATGGCAAGTTGCTCTGAGAGGATAATCTATATACTACTAAAACTCTAATTCCTGTAACTGGCCGAAATGGTATACCGCAGAGCAAAACATTTTGAACTAAAGGGCAACCTTAGTCAAATCGGCTGACCTACGGAATACATACAAAATACAGTATCCATGAGGCCCATGAACATCATACATTTTATAAATGTCATGTGCTGATGTTTGAGTGTTCAACATGGATTATTTTCAAGGCAGGTACATCTTTGAATGTACCCCAACTTCTCTAATTGGGGCAGTACATTAGACGCTCTGCTACTGTTGAAGACATTGAGGAATCTGGTAAGGAAATATCTTTGAAAGTATCTCCCAATGGAGCATGGGTTGCCTAGTATCATCTAAATTTGGATTAGAAGTAAACTCTGTTAATTCAATATATCTGCACAACGTAACCCTAATTTTCAGAAGAAGCTTGCAAAAGGACAACGTTGCGAAGGAGCATAAAATCTCATTTTAAGTACGAGACTTTTTTTATAGAATACTTCTTTCTATAGCAGTCCAAGTCATGGAACGATATTAAAAAAATAACATATCTTCATTGTATTCCGTTCACCTAATGGAGCATCTCAGCTGGAAAAGAACTTCCCAGAGGTATGATGCTATAGAAACTGAATCAATTAAATTATATTAAAAATTGCAGAGAGATTGTCAGCAGGGAAAATCTTAAATAAGGACTGTTATCTGCCAATTAAGTTTTGCTGAAGACTAGAGTGGTTTCTTGGTAAATATATATCAGAAAAAGAATAATTTAAAAAATCCCACAGTTGATACCCTCGAGCAGCAGAGCACATTTTAAATCAACTGTGGTTTTGAACACAGTAGCTATGCTATTTGATAACATATCATAAACCTACTAGAGTTGAAAGATAAACAGAGATTGCCATGGCTTACTTTGGGAGAATAAGATCCAAAACACAAATGTCACCCATCCAGGTTGTCACAATTTAAGATAAATATATTAATATATTCTTATGACAAACCGAATATGTGACATCTGTGTTCTGGATCTAAGCCATGACAATCCCATGAAGTCTTGATTCTCCCCTTTCCTAAATAATTCCAAGAAACATGGAAGTCAGATAACAGACCAAGGAGAGAAGCAAACTAGAACTATGGAGAAATTCTCCTAACAGTGAGGACAATCTACCAGGGGAACAACTTGCCTTCAGAAGTTGTGGGTGCTTCATCACTGGAGGCTTGTAAGAAGAGATTGGACAACCATTTGTCTGAAATGGTATACTCTATGGTCTCCTGCTAGAGCAGTGGGTTGGACTAGATGACCTCCAACTCTGATGTCGCTCTTGTTCCTTTCCCTATGAGATAGTTATTATCTCTATGGGATGCCCCCAGCAGGCTCAACTACCCTCCAATCCACAGAATCCCAGAACTTCAGTAAAAAGTAAAAAAGGCCATAGTAACCTGAGTCGATAGCATTCTTTAAGTTACACACGGATGGTGCTAAATGGGTGACAATGACCAGATGCAGCCATACTATTTTTACTTCATAAATAATATTACCTGAGGATAACGAATACAGCACTATTCCATTGTTTCCAGAATCAAGGTCTTTGGCAAATATACTGGCCACTCGTGTTCCTGCTGGTTGCCTTTCTAAAACCTACAATCAAACAATTCAGTTAAAACTAAACGTTTCAAATTGCAAGGAATTCAAATAATTTTGTGTCCCAAAACAAAATTACGACGTATGGTTTGTAGACAATCTTCACAAATACATTCACAAATGGGCAGGTTCATGCCATTTATTCAGTGGCAGATATTTTTATGTTATCTGTCTGCCCCTTTTCTGAGTGGCTGGATCAGCATGATTTTCAGCCTACTTATCAAAATATTAACTAATAGTCAACTTTATTGACTGATGGCAGGATGTTTACTTCTAGTTCTGACCATAGGTAAGTTGTAATTTGTTGAGATTGGTTGGGGCTCTGTTTTGCAGTCAGAGCATAACTAAGCTGATGTATTAAAAAACCCTTCATCTTACTGACTAGCTGAGCATGTACATATAAATACATACTATATTTATACATTTAGAAGACTTGTCATAGTATCTACTGTGTTTTTCCAAAAATAAGACAGGGTCTTACTTTCTTTTGACCCACGTAATAAGTGCTTGGTCTTATTTTTGGGGAGGTCTTATTATTTTTGAAGTGCAGGAGGCAGTGAGCGTGGTCACCTCATGGCTGCTGCTGTGTTGCAATATTTTGGGGAGGGCTTATTTTCAGGGAAACAGGGGTACTTCATTGATTTTTCTGTAATACCTATTCAAGTTTTGTTGTGTACTACAGTTTCTTCTCTGGTCCGTTTGGCTAGGGGGGGGCATGTCCTTGTTACTGATTGGTTACCTGTTTGACAGCTGGGGTATATAAAGAGCTGTCAAACAGGGCTCAGTTGTTGCCAGTTAGTTAATACGCACAAAATGTGAAGTGCCGTGTTAGGCAACCTGTTAGAAATAAACTGTTAGCTGACTTGAAGTCTTGGCTCGCCTCCGTTTGTCTGACTGCGTTTTCCCAGCTAGAACAAGTTTCATTTTAAAAATATATGCCACAGCAGGTAGCAGTATTTAACCAATTATGATTCCAAAAATCTAACCTGAATTAGATTTTATTAATATTTGAAATTGGGAACATTATCTGACAAAGGTAATAATAAACCAGTTCCATATGGTTGCCACGAGAAGTTCATGTTAATCATCAGGATCTCAGACCAAATTCTTTCACATTTTGTAATAGGATGTCCAAACTCTAATTCAAACATTTGACCACAAGATGGTGTCCAAAGCCAATTTTTCTTCATACATTTTTTTTTTAACCTGCCTGTAATGCAAGTTGAACGTACACCGGGTAGAATTCACATTCAAATTTAAAAGTAATATGCTCCATATTCCGTCTCACTGTAATAAAATGTATAAAATATCCCCAAAGCCCCTTCTCAAACCTGCACAGTTAACAGACTTTGCATATTTTGCAAACCTTGAAACGCAGCAGATCCTGGGAGAAAGATGGACGGTTGTCGTTGAGGTCCATAACTGAGATATAGACAGATATGGTAGCATTAAGTTGAGGGACCCCATGGTCTGTTACCAGAACAATCAAACGGTGCTGAACTTGCTGCTCATAGTCTAAGGCCACCCAGTTTATAATTTCCCCTGGTGAAAAGGAACAATGAAAAAAAAAAGTATTGTGGGATACATTTTGATAGTTTTAATAAGTACCTGTTCTAACCCCCTCCTCCGTCCAGTAACCAAAGCCGAGACACACTTAATGAGAATGTCCTTCAATAGCAAGACCAGACTCTCGGTGGCTGAAAGCCAAATAAACAAACAGATAAGGACCTTGGCAGCAAGTCCGACAAACCTTGGCAGCAATTCAGACAAACTCTGGCAGCAATCCAGTCTGCCAAGTTAGTTTCTCTTTAGTCAAAGCGTTGACTTCTGCAAGAAGGGCGTGGCACAAGCAGTCTTTTTTATAGTCTGGAGAGGAGCCTAATGACTATCAGCTGAGCGTAATTACCTCCTGTAATTACGTAATTGTTCTTGACCCGAGTAGCTGTTCGACGGCGTGCATCTAGGAAAAACTCACTGTTGGTTTCTGGATCACTCTTCCTTGTCTCCTCCCCACTGATCCAAGGCTCAGGCACCACCTGGTGGCCAACTAGTCTCTCTGCGCCCTGCTCGGAGTCGGAACCCTGTCCAGGGTCCTCCACATCCTCCAGAGCCGACTCATAAGGCCCCTCGCTGTCGGAGTCTGGTGGCAGCTCCAACGGCTCCTGCTGGGCCACAACAAGTACCACAAGGTACCATTTGCTGCTTCTGTCACTTGATCCATTACCCAGAGGCTAGCAAGCATTATTTGTGCATTTACTGTCATTGTGCCTTAAATGATTTGGACTTCACACCAAAGTTAGTGTCAAAGCCAGATGCTATCATCCAGAAGCGATCATATTGTTACGGTTCTAAGTAATACACCCATAGCAAACATAACTCCAAGGCTGGTAGATTTCTCAAAGAATAGTTTTATTTGGATATGTCATATTGGCACAGGCTGGTGAAAACCGACTCTGAATGTTCCCATGGTTTTCACTTATTTAAAAGTTTTCTCCCTTCCCTAAACAATCAGTCATATGGTCCAATGAAGGTGCCATCCAATTGCCTGGTAACTTCATTCATCCCCTCTCCAACCATCTGTGTCCTTGGTTCCCAGGAGAAAGTATTTTGTTTTGGCTACAAACCTGAAGTATCTCTATTCTGCCCTACCTCCAGTTTAGCAACACTCAAAATGGCCTCGGTCAGGTCAGCTTCAAGATTGACACAGATAATGTTCTGATTCCCAGAACAGCAAAAGGGGTGAAGTCATTTTAGTTGTTAAGTAGACTCGCTAAAATCTTTTTATATTAGGGATTCTCATAACAAAATGCTTTTGAGAGACTGATACATATTTCTTCACTTTTTGCAGAGCTGCAGATATTCCGAAGCCTTGCAACAACTTAATATGAGTTATATGGGAACTTTGAAAAATGAATTGCCTCATAATATAACAATACAGCACTGGTTATACTCCCATGATTTCCAAATTATTTCTTTATATCTCTACCACCCATGCTGTTTTATTGATAAAAGGACAGGTTTCTGTGGAATGTATTATTTACATGCAGATGAATCTTAGAAAACAATTATTTGGCAATTAATCTGGCAAGTTATGTGTAATTTCCATTCCATATTCATTCTGGATAAAAATTTGTTTATCATACCTTTTCTTGAATTTTATTCTGTATCAGCTCTCTCATTCTCTTTAAAAATATACATTATTTAAATATGTGACATGCTATTTAAGTATTGCGTACAAATATCTCTAAATCTTTCATAAAGCCAATGCTAGTCAATTTCCTATCAAAAGGGGTAAGCATTATATTAAGTTTGAATTAACTTAAATTCTCCAAATAGAAGAAAAAGCCAGAAGAACAGGGCAAATGTATCAGCAAGAATTGAAATAGGTAATTGTATAGTTTTAAAGCAGTAGAACAGCCCTGAGAAATCAGGGTAGCAGAATAAAGAGAAAACTAGGATTAAGGGGTGAGTTTGTAAATAGTATCAATTGATGCTGCATACTGAGAATCTGACTGACTTTTGTTCTAGAAGTTCATTCCTCAAGTCAGTAGAATATATGCAATAAGCACAGATGACTCAGCATTTGTGCTGATGTTTTATATTTTTTAACTTTATATTATGATACTTGGGAATATCAAAAATTATTATTGCTGCAAGTAGAGACGACTGCATTCTATTTTTTTAGTGTTGTTTTTTTATTTGTACCTACAATGCCCAGTTTTTAAATAAATGTTGAGATGCAGTTTGTTAATTGACAAATAAATGAAGTAATTAAATAAATTCAATGGATTCATATATTACTGGAAAACTAACACATTCCCCCTGAATATAGGGACCATTGTATAATGTATTTACCTGTATTGGAATTGATTCTGAAATAGTTTTCATTTGATAAGATGAAGTAGGAGAGCTGCCCATTTCTTCCAGAGTCCTTGTCAATTGCTTTAATTGTGCCAATCACACCTTGGGGTAATGCTCTTTCCTCAACTTCAATAAAGTAGACATCACGAAGAAACACAGGAGGGTTATCATTTTCATCAATTACGTTGATTATTATTAATGTGCTTGCATTTTGCACTGACTTTTCCATTGAGCTAGTAACAAAAGCTCTAAAACTATGAGCTTGCAAATGTTCATAGTCTAAAGGATTACGTAAGTAAACCACACCTGTTTCTGGATCAATTTTAAAAGGAAGAGAGTCTATGTTATGTTCCAAAGAGTATGTAAGAGTAGCAGAAATGTGATAGGGGTTTAGCTTCCGGGCCCTTATTTGCAGGATTCTGTCACCTAGACAGGATCTTTCACTAACTTCCACTTGATACAGCAACTTTTCAAAAATCAACACAGGACTTCCTTTTTGTTTGTCAATTAGCACTCCCAAAATCAACACAGAGCTCAGGGAAGGATTTCCATGATCTTCTGCTCTGATGTGTACCACTACATGCTCGTGCTGCTTATGACTATTGAGATCTCTAGCAAGGTAAAGAATCCCAAGAGCTGGATCAAGACTAAAAATACTTGACTGACTGCTTACAATGGCATAATGGATGAGCCCATTGAGCCCACTGTCTTTATCTTCTGCATGAGCAATATAAAGAGCTGTTCCAGGTGGCGTGCTTTGAGATATATATATTTGATCATAATCCATCACAAATACTGGACGGTTATCATTGATGTCAATCAGAGTTACGTTGACCTGGGCACTGCTGAAGATGGAAGAGTTTCCCAATTGTGACTGCACTTCAAAGAGTATATGATCATGGGTTTCATGGTCAAGTTGTTTCTGGGTGTGTATGATTCCACTGTGAGAATCAACAGTAAAAATCCCATGGGAATTGCCAGAGGAAATTCTATAAGAAACTGTATCCAGGAAATCTGTAAAAAGGAATCAAACAGAGAAGCTTAACAGTGTAGAGGTTTCATTTCATGGAAATGCATTCCAGTTTGCGTGAAAAATCCATGCTACAATATTAAATGACTTGCTATTTTGAGCCTGCTTTCGGATACTTCCTATTTGTTTTTATTTTAAATGAATCTAAAGCATGCAGAAAAATAAAGAGAAAACAAGATTCTATGGAGTATTTTTAAGCACTTTATTTCTACCACTTCCCTTTAAATTATAAACACACACACACACACACACACACACACACACACACTGTACATGTACACACACACACACACACAGATAGACAATTG